CATTTGTGCCTTCATACTGAATGGTTTTTATTATCATATAGTTTTTTCTTGCTAGGTTTTTTTATGTCTTGGTCTCTTGTTGTTAATTTCATATGTAGGGGGTTGAGTGGTAGAGCAGACGGAATAACACGGTTTATTCCAGTCTGAACTTCGCCCTATTGAGTCACCCATTATGTAATGTAATGTATAATATCTGTTCTTTGTATGGTGTGTGCTCAATAAATGTCATTATTATTATTATTTCACATTAATTCAAATTATTTCAGGTTAATTCTGATTAATTCACGTTAATTGTAATTAATTCACGTTAATTCAAATTAATTCAGAGAGATGTACACACAAATTTCAAAGTTGTTTTCTCCTAGCCCACATCCACTTAATCACGAAGAACTAAGTACCACGGAAGTAGATGTACTGTAGCCTTTGACGGATCGTCTCTTCGGGTCTGTTGACATCCATTTCACCGAAAACACCGAGACGCCAAACAAGAAGAATCTTCTATCGAACAAGTTCAACTAAAGCAGGCTCATGAACATGCTTAAGGTAAACCTTGAGGACAATGAGATCAGGAAGTTGCATCTGAAGTCACCAAAGGCCGAAAAAGCAGCAGCGGTCTTTTCCGACCTTTCCTCCAACACCGCCCAAGTACAAAAGGCAGGTGAAACCTACAAGTTGACGTTCTCCACCCATTCTCTATGCCTATAGGTCTTTCTAGAAATCGGTGAGCATCATCAAGCCTGATATCTCTTGTCTTTCTCCCACCGAGGGAGCAGTAAAACACGTGACATGAAGAGGAACAAGAGGATCCTTTGACCGTTTCCGTACAGAGGTCCGATGGAGAAGATATTGGACCCTTTTGAAAGTAGCAAATCTAATCAGCTTTCATTTTGTATAGAATGGTCATGTCGCTAGGACGCATAGCTTCCAAGATATATGCGAAAAACCGAAAATGAGACCGTTCACCCCTCCCCCTCCCCTCTCCCGGCTCAAGGGATACACGCGGAGACTGATGATGAGTAGAATATGTTCGGTTCAGGTTCAGATTGCCATCGATTAAAATTAAAAGCTTCTAAAAGGAGCTTTTTGGAGCTTTTAGAGGCACTGAAGTGGAGAGTCGGCGGAAGTTATGTTTTATGTAAATGTTTTAGTTTAGGAATACAGAAATCTTTTGGAAACATATTCCAAACCGCCTTTATGGCACTAAGATATTTATTGAAGGCAATTTTGCATCGTATAGAGTTCCAGAAGTTTTCCGCAATGGATTTCTGTCAAAACTTAAAATCACAAGATTTGTCAAGGCTTAAAAGGTTGCAGGATGCCACGGTGTGAATGCGCCAAGAAAGCTTCCTTCCAGTCATTATAGAGTGGATTTCTTGTACAAAAAGTAAAGAGGATCAATTCTTAAGGTTTAGAGAGTATATAAAAATTAAGAGATAGGCTTTAATTTTAAAAGCAAATGAATCTTTTGGAAATGAATTTCGAACCGTCTTTGTGGCACCAAAATATTTATTGAACACGAGAGACGACTAAACTATTTGGAACTTCATTCCCCCAATAATGAGATCGCTACCAGAACCAAAACAAGAAATAGACGTGCAAAATGAAATCATAATTTGTCCGTCCGTCCGTCTGTACCACTACTAGTCCTCCAGTTTAAGCTTTTTCGTTGTGGTTTCTTTCTTATACGGTGTAGTAGTACAGCCCAGAGATAAGAATGATAAAAGTTTCTTGGATTGCTGCCCGAGTTATTACTGATTCTCTGTGGCGAAAATGCACTTTCGTCGATCACGAGTGACACGTTTTTAACTTGTTTTATTCTGGACTGGGATCATTAATGTAAGAAAAATGGTTTAACCAATAGCGATGGAGGCACTCGGGATTATATTACGATATTCCTTTTTCTTGAGGAGCAAGGGAAAGAGAAAAAATATTCCTAATGAGGCAACGACTTCGAAATCCCCTTAGAAGTCGTCTTGCTATGATAAATTAGGTACGTTTATTCAATTCTCTTTTAAAAAAGTAGTAATTACAATTTTCAAATTCGGTTAGCAAATGGAGTGTCCTTTGTTCTGATGAAGCCATGCGGTGACGTGGGTATAATACCGTTTATACGTTAAATAATAATCATGCAAAATCATCTCATTTTCATGCGGCTTCTTGTTATTATTCAAATGGCGTTTTGGTTCGCGTAGTGACTACACCAGTCCGTGATATCATCAATATCATAATTCCTTGCGTAAGATAGTAGCTCTGCCGCATAATAAAACGCCGAAGACTCTCTCTCCGATGTTAAATCTCCTCTTCGAGAGGAGAAAAAAGAAGGCAGTCTAAACTTTTATGGCTCCCACTGTGGGGATTAGGTTATTAACTCGTGTACGTGATATTAAAAATTACCGTGGCCGCGAGCTTTTGTGGTGACCAGTAACGTTTCTATTCCATTATTTTGATTGAAATTAATACAATAAAGTTTCCGATAGACGGTAATAGAATGTAATTATACCAGGAGGAGAGAGACGAGCAACAAAGAACAGGATGCTATAAAGATTGTGTACGTGGACCCTTAAAAAGGATACGTCTTTATCATTTTAATTAGTACGTAATTTGTCATTAAATTGCTTCTGCATTTTTCGTGGTAAAAAAATAAGACATTCCTTTTTAGAAATACGTAAGAATTTGGTCATCTTTCACACGAAAACACAAACTGCTGGGTTAAATGAAAGAACACGGGGTGGATAAAGTTGTCGTACCCACGGTCTCAGATCTCAAAATTCCGTTAAAGCGTAGGCATTTCAATAATATGTCCCAAATCATATAGAATAACAATAAATACAATTTTCTCCAACCACCTGAATAAGACGCTTTTTTGTCACACATTTAGGTACTAGTTACCTACTAAGTGCTAAAAGAAAATTTACTGGAAAATCACGAAAAAGGGCGTGCGAGCGTATAACGCATTCATTACGGAACTCTGAAATTCTTAAGAACTATTGGAGGAAATACTTACTAGAAGTAATTTTGAAGAGTCCTAGAGAAAAACGATAAATGAACCCTGGACAGTAAACCCTCCGGACTTTAACAATAACCGAACAATTTGATACCTATGCTCTTCAGGAAAATTAAGAAAAATAACCTAAACCTTAAAATAGTGTCCAAAAGACTGCTGGACGTCACGCTCCTTTTGAATACCTTAAGAATTTTTGTATGGGTTTGCCGAGGGGTTGTGACGTGGTGAAAAATTTCTACATAAGAATACCCAGTTCAAAGAATACCCGAGATTTCCTAAAGACTACCCAAGAATGTCCAAAGACTTCCGAAAGATTTTCGTATAGAATTCTTTGATTCCCAAAGAAGAAGGAAGTGTATACTGGAAGAATTTGGAAATTTTAACATTCATTAGCACTTAAGAAAACCTAATCAATTTTTTTTAGACAATTTTGAATTCTAGACTCATCTCTAAAACCAGAGTGACATTAAAATTCAAAAAAGTTCTAGCGGGGGTGTTGGCGAAACATTTGGGAGTTTTAAAATTCCATAATATCTCCACAAAAACGTCGCAAATCATTCAGGTGAGTGTATCCGCGAAGCGTGTGGTCGCAATTTTGACATTCTTCATTATTTAAACAAAACCTAAACGGAATTCAAACACTAAACCGCCGAAATTTCAAGTGATTTCAGATGATTTCCCCGATATTTCAGTGGAATTGCATGTGACAACAAACCAATATAATCGGGATAGATTTCGTAACAATTACATGAGGGTCCTACGGGTGGGAAACTTGACTCGCCTCTATAAAAACTGTACACCAGATTTCAACTCACTCCAAAAGATTTCATCTGATCATACAATTTTGAGTCGTGTCAGTGGGACTTTTAAGTGATTCGAAATAATTCGAATGAGATTTCAGGTTATATCAGTGAAATTTCAATACGGCTCTCAAGAATTTCAAATGATTTCAATGGAATTTTAAGTGACTCAATTGATTTTTAAAAACTTCACTGTGAATTTAACTGATTTCAATGAGATTTCAGTTGAATTTGCAAGTAATTTCAAAACAATTACAAGTAGAGAATACGGCTGTGTCTATTAAAAAGGCGTATACCAATTTCAAAGTGGTTTCAACGAAAGCGACCTTAGAGGATTTCAATATGGTTGCATAACGGAATTCCCTAAGAATTACTCTTGGAGAGGATATCCTTTAAAAAAGATGATTGTTTGTTTAATAGTAAAACCTTCTAATATTAAAGAATAAAATATAAACGCAAAACTATAATAAAATAATAGTTAATTATATAAGACGATAATATAAATCATTGTAAAGCTTCTCCCAAATCCGAATTTAATTAAGACGTCAAAAATGGCAAGCTTAGGTTCTGCTGTCGCTCTCGTTTCCGAATCATTTTCATATGTTCTGAACGATATTTTATATCGTGCTCCGCGTCCCGTTTGAAATAAGAATAACAGAGACAGACCGAGTCGTTTGAATTCACAATCCTCTGTTTCACTTTATCTAACTTCTCGGTTAAAGCAACCACTTTATGTACCCTCACGGTTCTAGCGACGGAGTAGCGGTTACCAAATTTTAATTTTAAAGGTAATTTTAAGCACAATATACAAATATTTAAAATTTTTTGGAGACAATTTGCGAACTGCGCTGAAATAATGCTATGGAAAGCAATTTCTATTCGCAATTATGCATCATATTTAAAAGTCAATAGCGCAACAGAAAATTTGGGGTAACTTTCAGAATAGTTTCTGATTTACTAAAGTTATGACGTCTATATAGACGGCACCCTTAGAAGTTCGGGAGTAAATCCAAATATTTAAAAAAATTGTAGACGTGTTATCAAAAACGAGTTTTGCATTCGTAATCGGGCGCTTTGTACGGATAGTCTAATATTTATATAAAAATTATTTATTGCGACACTATAAGAGTGGGAAATTAATGTTACTGGAAGTAATGATAGGTAAGGATTTTTTGAATAAAAAAGGTATTAGAACCGTAAGCATTTTATTTTTAAACTTGTAAAAACCTATGTAACAGTTTTTTGATCCTTGGATTTTGGGCCCTGAAATGGAAAAGAACAATTAGTTTAAAAACAGCAACAAACTTAACAAACTTACAAGCTTTGGTCCCTGCAGCTTCAGTTATTAGCGTTCAACATTATTCGTCAGATTTCAGAATCATCAGCCTTCGCCATTTTGTCAACTGAAAAAATTTTTACTCTACCATGTAACCAGATTTCCGTATGCAGGGAAATTTACAGTTTAGTAAAAATGCATGATTTAAAAATAGATACGAAAATATGTGTTTTACGCATTGCAAGGAAACTAATGATTTCATTTATTCATAACCCAAGTTGGCATTTTATTTAAATGTGAGGAAGAGAAAAGGGAATTAGCAATATAAAGTAATAAGAGCGGTTAGAAATGCAATTTTATTTCAGATGTAAATAAAAAAGAAAATAAATAAAATAATAAAGAATATCAAAAGTATTCCCTTTGTGGGATAATTAGTTAAATATGCAATATTGCAAATTAAAGCGAGGTCCTAGGTCACTGGACGTTTTGTTGTATTTAAATAAGTTTCCTTTTGTTTTAAATTTTTAAATTTGCTTTAATTTCATTTATTGTTCATTTAGACTTTTTCATTCTGATATCGTTATCTATCCTCCGTTACTTATCGGCCGTATATTTAATATTTTAGATTTCATTTTTTTTAATTAATCTGTACAGAGTATACTACATGAACCGGCAGTCAAGAAGGCGAGAGATAACGCATCCCCACTATTAATTAATTTAATTAATTAATATTATTCTATTAATTGCATCTGCGCATAGCCCGCTTCCGTCTTCTTATGTCTCGGTACCTGTACTTACTTCTGTTGCATTAAATGAAAGGGTTAGTGTTTTACTAAACAAATTATATTTTGTTGCTCGCTAGATTACTAGGTATAAGTTAAAAACTGTATGGCAACACAAAGCTATGTGTTAAAATAAGTTGGTAGCGGCATGCTTGCGCAAGTCGGTATGTACAAACCAGTACAGAAACCTTAAATTTTGGGAAACCAAGCCGTTTTAAATCACACGTGACACGAGGAACCGGAACAGGAATTCCACACACAATTACCATCACAGCAACTTTTGAAGGAATTACATTTCCCTAACAACACCAAATCACAAAACTACATATGCATCCAATTAATTAGAGATAAAAAACAAAGGTTAATTACACCGAGGGTTGTTCACAATTCGATCCAATCTCGGCTCATACTAACACCGATAATCGTCTTCACCGACCTCTTCTCGATCTTGCCGCACGATTATCGAACTATGCTGTTGAAATAATAAATACATGCATTAATTGGCTGGAACTATTTTATAATTAAAGGAATGCATCAGCCGGCCACACTCTCATTAAGATCGTGTAAGAAGTTTATTCGACATGCTTCATATCGTTAAATATAGTTAAAATTCCACCGACTGATATAAATTGTATCACACTTACAAATCTAATTAGACGGATTAACTTAAAATTTCTTCGATGAAGAATGTCTACCTCCACAGATTTCTCACTTCTCCGTTAAAAACTTGTTTTTGAGTACAATACTTACCTTACCTCAAATTTTCGATCAAAGATAGAAAATTATAATTAAATTTAAACTCACCCATTAATCGAAGTTTGCGTCATAAACCACCCCAAAAAAGCTTTCGCCAGTGAGTGCCAAATTTGGGTAAGTATCCAATCCGACTTGTCCTCGGCCTTTTGCAAGAAACTAAGCGTATCGCTATCGGGATGCATTTGTACGAAGGATTCGGCGATATCCTGTGGAAGCTGGCGAAGATCGCATTGGTACCACTGCAAGCAAAAAAAAATCGACGTAAAAGCTTTCTTTCTTTTGCACGTATGAATAATAATGAATCGTGCACCGATGGCGCGAATTCTTATGCACATACTTGCAGCTAATATAAATATTCATAAGCCTTTTGCATTTTATTTTTTGACGAACACCTGAAGTAATTACTTTAAACTGACAGGTATAGGAAAAAAAGACGATAAACATTAATTACAATTATAAATGAAACCTACTTTTTCATTCTGTACGTAACTCGGTAATCAAAGTCAGATTTTTCATGTACCAAACAATAGCGAAGGATAAATCAGCGTTACTTTTTAATTAATCTTCGGGTGATGAGGCAAGTTTACTAATTACATTTTTTGTTCGATGCCGGACCAAACTATACCTACGTTGGCGCAAAAACGTAATGATCAACGTTTATTCCTGAAAAATTGTAAACCGATCAAAACAATTTTGGTGCCTTCGCGGACGCGGAACACGCGACGCCCATTATTTTAAGAGAGAAAATCCTCTAATGGTCTATTAATCCGTTCGTAAAATCATTTGCACGCAACGTCTCGTATAATTGAATACGTTGCATTTCCGCTAGTTTCAGCTTATTAGCAATTTTTTAAGAATAGGAAAATTTCTAGTGTTTTAGTGTTAGTGCCCCGATTTAAGTGCTTGATACAATGTTTAACCAATCCCATAATAACAATTTCATAGAATGATCAACCTCTGTAACAAAATTTCGCCAAATAGGACGCTGGTCCATCTTTCTTATTGTTATCTTCAGAAACGAAGATAGATATCTCATATACAGGGTGCCAAAAAAATCGGGTCTTAAAGTTACCTTTAACAAAGTTTAAAAAATTTCTTTTTTTAAATTATTTCTCCAGATCCAGAAGGAGCGCACGTCTTTTTTGATAAGATATTTGAGTATGCTAATTTTGTTTAATTTGTAACCCAAGATGACGCACTCCCTAAAAGGGAGCGAGACAAAATTTTGATGTCGACCAAATTTATCAAATAGTGATCTTTTAACTTGAAGATGCAGACTATTAAATTAGTTCGCAAGTACCTACTTAATAGCTTGTAGTAAAAAAGTGCAAGTCCAAGAAAACATCTGGGGGCCATCGCGGAGCGTGTTATACTAACGTGGCGATTTTTCAGTTTTTCCTTCTACAGTGTTGGTCCGATTATTTTTAAATTGGTCTCGTCGGAAAGCTCTTGTATATACGCACAACACCGGCGGAATTTTGTTTTTTTAGGTGAGAAATCAACCACCTTTTGTAACACGCGCGTCTCCTAGGGATAGTCGACTTTGGGCATCCAAAAGTGTATTAGAGCTTGAATCGCGGTCTCTCTTTATCGTGCGGCCAATAGAACCTCGAGCTATGAGAAGTGCGCCAGTAATTTACTATTTTGTGGCGGGTTTTTAGCGAAATCCACCAAAATACGAATTGCGGGCGAACGGGGCGTCGGAAGAGGGTACCAACCTAGGTACCAACAAAGGGAATGTCTAGGAAAATCTTGTCGGCAGCAACCATACTTCCATTGTCGGTGTCCACTTACGACGTTCCATTCACCCGCATTGCGCGTTTGAAGTTTTTCGATAAAAACCCGCCACAAAATAGTACTCAATTTTTGGGTACTTCTCATAGCTCGAGTTTCTATTGGCGACACGAGAAAGAGATCCCGCGATTTGAGATCTAAGAAACTTTTGGGCGCCCAAAGTCGGCTACCCCTCGAATCGCGCCGTGCAAAGGATGGTTTATTTCGCCCCTAAGAAAAAAAATAAGTTCATAACCTTCCTTTCGCCCAGCTTGAAATCGAAGACGCCCTATCCACATGCAAAAATTCCGCTGCACCAAAATAATGCAAAACTCATTCAAGATTGCGATGCATGTATTTTTTGTGCATGTTTGTTGAGTATATTTGAGGTTAGACTGAGAATGGGAAAAAAATTCAAGTAAAATTTTGACTGGAAACTGTGGGGTTCCCCAAGATTATGCTATAAGACCATTGTGATTGTCTATTGAGTATTACTTTTAATGAAGGGCATGAGCGCTAATGATTCCATCGATGGAAAATTGAAATTTCTACAATAACTGCTACAGCCTCAGAGTGGCGTAACAAATTCTCATAAACGCTACTTTCGCCCTCTTCTTCTTGCACTTGATGACTTAACAAAGAGACCAAAAAAACCCTAACGCGATATGTCAGTGCTTAGCACTAAAGTAGAGAAGACAAAACAATCAAATCGATATAAGGTTAGTAAAGCGGCAGCTTTTCTTTTTTGGGTTGTAAGCGAGCATTTACAAGCACGCGGAGAATGGTCGCAGCCGCCTCGATTTCGGTGAGTAAAACACCATAAAAATACCGTCAGGGGTTCACTTGCTTTTTGTCCGCCGCTGACACACTGTCAGTTCCGGTTTAATTTATTCGGCCCGTATTTAATTTCGCTTTTTTCTGCCGACGCGCTGCAAATTTTTAATTAAATTGGTGCAACTTTGAGGACGATCAAGGTAATTAGCGGTCGGGCCGCGACAGTTCCGAGATGATGGAGTTGGGAGGTTTTTTGTTATAAAAGTATGCACCAAGAGAGGGTACATTGTCTATTCGATTCCGACTGGATTCCAACTGTTTTAATTACCGAAGGTGATTAGTGCATTCTTTTTGTCGGACGATGGGGCCTTCGTCACATTCTTCAGCCGTTTGATACGCTACCGTAAGCGCCGACTGCAACCGCTACAGTGCAATTATCTTCATATATAATCAACATAAATAATGAGAATTTAATTAAATTTATATTTAACGCTTGTATTAAAAGCGAACATGTAATTCTTCCTAGTTTCCTGGCAACACCTGCATTTAGCACTTTTTCCACCCGATCGTTTTGTTAATTACGTCCCACAACTTCGAGCACATGTTTATATTTTAAGCGTCGTTTCAAATTGACCTTAATTATTATGGTGTGAAATATTCTCAATAAGACACCATCTCCTAGAGATAACCGAGGGCTAACAAATTATCACCCACAAATTAAATAATTTAGATTGCCCTCGTAGGCTGTAAAACTCATGGAAAGGCACCGGTAACTCGAGCGGAGGTTTCCACGGGAGCGACATCCGTGTCAATGTCAAAAGCTCTCCAGGGAGATCATCTCTTCTAATAAGGTGACCCGGTGCGTAAAGCTTGTAGAAAGAGACACACCGCATCCAGAGGTGCTGTACATCGTGGAATAGACCCAACTACTGGCCCTTCCCAAGGGCCCAGCACTGCCGGGAGATCGACAACGGTGAAAATCCGAAAAACCTGCTTCCTTTGTTGAAAGGATATAACCCAAGTTTTCGTGGATGCTGAAAATTAAAAAAACCCGTTCCCATCCGCAACAATGTTTCCAAAGATGAGAAGCTACAGATGAAAGATACAATTTTAAAGCAAGTCAGACTTCGAGGAGATGACTGGGGGAAAGAGGTTGAGGCTCGTCTCAGGCTTTGACATGGTATCATTGGATTGCTATCTCCATAAGTTCTGGCACAGCAACTTCTATCAGCGACTGAGTGGATCTAAAAGGCCAGTTGGACGTCCAGAGTCGGTGCAATGGAATGGAATAGAATCAATTTATTCATACTTAACAAAATACCGGGATTAGTGCCATCTACTGATTGACCTCATAAAGCAGATTCAAAGAGATAAAGTTTCTGACGTGAGAACAACTAAATACCACCTTAAGGAACATTACGGTGAAAAGGTTCTGAGGAAAATGAAATTGTACAAACTTTAACAGCCAAATTCAGCTATACGGGCTGGAAACTGTTGAAAAAAAAATACCAACTTCAAAATTGTAGGCACAATATTATCGCATGAGCACTTTTATGCCGAGATACATCCAGGCAGCGCGTATGGGCATGGCGATCTGAAAAGTTTTGGTCTGACCTCTGGTCAAATTTGACGAGCAACCGCTGATGAGCATATTGATGAGCCATCTTTTTCTGAAGACAGTACCTATGTTATAAAGTGTCTAGTCAAATACATAAGAAGAAGTCACTACCACTCACCCCTAACGTAGAAATGTTTCATGATATTCCAATGACACACACACGAAGTAAGAATGCCATGAAAAAAATTAATTAATTAACTACCGCAATTTCTTCAGTTCATTTATTAAATCAGGGTGGTAAGCAGAAATTTTGGAAAAAATTACTAATGAAGCAATATGCATGCCGTAAGACATAGAAGATTGACTTATAAATATTGTACTTACTAGTAAACAACGACCGGTCGACCCCTACTCAAACTCAATTACCTACAGTGAGTGAGTTTTTTTTTCTTTCCATTTCCGTCTAAGTTATCAAAACCTTACTTCTATCATTAACAATTATTTAATAATAAATCAGTATTTGCCTTATTAATATTTTATACCGCGCCGGTACTTACAAACGTTATACGGCGAAGGGCTCGGTTTATTGAAGAAAGAGGGGGCGTTTACACTTACCGTACACTCAACGCAATTTACCACAAAAAATTGAGCAGCGCGTACGGTTTTTTTTTGTACGCTTTATTTGTACATGTAATTAATCGCGCGAGTTTTTCACGCGGAGAAAATTGGGGTTTAAATTCCCACTCAATTTCCCATCTCTTTAAACACGACATTGCTTATAGGAGAATGCATTATGCGTAGACCATAATGAGGTCTCATATTTATAGTGGATGTAAGTAAATAGAGGTTCGTGAGGATAATTGCCCCTATTATTATATAGGAAATATTGACAGTAACGTTATATTGTCACATCGATACTAATCCTTAAATTAGGGGGCTGGTTTACCGGTGGGTAACCTAAAAAGCTTACTTCAGATTCATCTTGAGAGGAATAATGAATTGATGGGATGAACGTAAAGAAAGTTGTGAAAGAACGAAGGGGTAGAGGTCTTTGAAGGGTATTCGAAAACCCAAAATCACGCTTAAAGATAAAGTAAGCAAAGCTTGAAGAATGCAACATAAAAATAACTTAAG